CGAGATGAAAAATCGGTACAGAGGCCCAGCGCACACACACACACACACACACACACACACACACACGACAAACACACACACAGACACACACACAGACAGTCTCTCGTCAATATGCGTTTTTGGCATTGCATTGCTGCAAAAAATGCATAAAAAAGGACGATCGTGGACCGTGCTGTGCGAAACGATAACAAAAATGAGGACTGAAGGCGAAAACTGACTGGGTCAACCTCTATGAAGAATAGCGAAAAACATTTTCCATCCAATAAACAAAATCATTGGCGACGCGCACCAGGCGAGCCCGTTCGATCATGCGTTTTTGCAGTATTTTTGCTGTAGTAAGATCGCTTGGAAAAACAATAACTAGAATTTACAACATACTGGTCCACGAACTTCAGGAAGTTAATTATACAGCTACGACGTGATACTTGGAAGGGTAATTTTCTGTTAAAATTTCAGCTTTCCATCTTTCCTGTTTTCCGAGTTAGCGATTTTCTTGCCAGAAATTTTCACGAGGCTACACGTGAGAACCACGCACGCCTGGGGCCTAAAATTGAGGACTTTGAATTCTACGTGAAGGGGAAACATCCCTGCAAAATTTCTGCCTCCTAGCTCTTCTGTTTCCTGAGTTAACGGTTTTCCCGCCAAAATTTTCACATGCTCGTACGCGGGAAGCAGATGTGCATGAGGGTTGGTGCCGCAGTCCTGACGTGACACTTGGCCGGGGAACCCGCTGGCAAAATTTTGACGCCGGAGCTCGCTTCGTCGCCGAATTGAAATACCTGGATACAAAAACACACACACATACATAAACATACTTCTCCCGTCTCCCTCTCTTCTTGTTTTTCTACTTTCTTTCAGTAATCTTTGATCTTAGTAATAATACAGTTTTGCGTGACCGTTCGTTTAGTTTTAAAATTTTTTACCATTATTGAATTCGGTTATTATTTGTAGGTGTTCTTATTACAGCATCAACGAACGTAATGGTGGTGGTAGACTTAAATTTCTAACCTCTAAAAAATTTTTTATTTTTTATTTTTCTATTTAATTTACCACAATGCATGTTTCTAATACTTCTGCTGCAACTGTTACGCTGACGAGGTCCATTTGTAGCACTGAATGGGAATGCGTGCGACTTAATGGACCGAAACATTCAGATTCAACTTTCATTTTTATTTTTGTTTTTACTTTTCTCTTTTAATTTTTACTTTTTTCAGAACCATAAAATATTTAAATTTAAAATACACACACACACACACTGAGGTCGTCACAATATGCATTTTTGCACTTGCATATATGCAAAAACGCATAATGAAGAGCTAGTTGCCGATGCTTACTGAGTCAACCATTTATATACGGCACATGCTAAGACTGCGGATAATATACCTGAACAAACCTTCAGAAGAGGATACATAAAACATCTAAATATTTCAACTGCTAACTAGTAAAACAGTTTGAGACCTTCAGCCTGAACAGTATTTGCCTGTATGTAGTTGCTGGGACATTTCAACTCAACAACCATGCAAGCTTTGATTTTGAAATTTTGTTGATGAAAATCCTGGGCAAGCGCGGTGGTATCAACTTTCATGCACGCCTTAAGTCCTACTTGCTGGCGCGTGAAAGTTCTAGCGGGAAAATTGCTAATTTGGGAAACAGAAAAGCTAGGAAACTGAAATTTCGGAAAGACGTACTTTGTTCACGTAGGATCTAAAAATTTTAAACTGAATATATACCTGGTTCTCAAGTACGAACGTGTAAAGTTTTTGACGAGGGAATTGTCGAATCGGGAACCAGAACAACTAGTTATTTTCAACGAACAATCAGTCAGTGAAAATTATTCATTTCCTTCATGCAAAATTTACGGTAATGAGCGCACAAATCAAATGTAAAGCAACAGCCATTCATACAGTTAACGATCTGACTGCTTCAACTTTGGCGCAAAAAAGCTTGATCACACTTAAAAATCCGATGCGTGCAACCTAGGTTTTATCGCCACCGTAAACCCATCTTAGTTTATTTTACAACATGCACTGTTTCGTTGAGGTCCTCCTCACGAAATCAAGACTACAATTTCCACCAGATGTGCTGCAAACCCGAAACGTCTACCAAACGTCGTTCCATGGTCCGTTGCTGCTAGCTTTACTGTTCACCTCCCCACAATAAAAAAAAATTACTATGAAACTGGCTTTTGGAAAAGTTACTGTGTTTTTGTTGGAATGGTAATTGAAAGCAATTTTGTGGCTGAGGGACGAAAGTAGGTTGGCACTTCTTTTTTCAGGAAGATTTTCAGCAGTCTCCATCATTTTCAAACACTTTACAAGCCGCTTTCTGCTTTGAACTGCAGTGCTGTAAGGCTTCTGGAGACACGCATGTCTTCTTTCTGGCGTTTTGTTAACCAAAATGACGCATGCTTCCAGCATTTATCCAGAGTGATCAAATATGAGGAAGTGTTTCAGTATTTCAGCACTGAATTTACCAACCTTATTTTGTTTTAGCTTTTGATTCAACTACTATTTTTCAGCTGATAAGTTGCTTTTCAGCCAGATACTGAGCCGTTCGGTTAAATTTTGTGCGTTTTTGGCAAAAAAAAAATGCAATATAACTCATTTCGCAGTCTTTTATTTTCTAAGCTGTTGACATTGCTGTCCATCATCATGCTCCTGCACTGAATACACATAGTATCGCAAATTTGTTTTATTCCCCGTAGTGTTTGTATTGGTAACACTGATTAACAAATATGAAAACGTTTTTGACGCCGCTTTCCGTTGTCGCAAAATGCGGTGAAAAGTCGTAAAAGATAACCGATTAGCTGGGAAAGATACGATGCAAATTAGCGATCAAACAATTTTCAGGTATTGATTTGCAAGCTCAGACTTCCTCTGAGCGCCAAGACGCCACTCCAAAGCAGCTTTGAATTGACGCTACGTTGAAACCTGCATCACACTGATTCACACACTCCACGTTTCTCTGCAGTACGCTAGCCAACTACTGGGTCGCCACGTTTGTCCCTTGCATTCGGCGACGCATCCGAGAAGGAGAGCGGGTACCAAGGAATTGAGTCCCGACCCGAGATCAGTCACTCAAACCCAAGTTAAGGAAACACTGCTGAAATCTACTGAGATGGCTGTCTTCAAAAAAGTAACACACAAAAGAGAAGCCCACTGAGCCGTTAGAAATGAGGGAAATCGCTCAATCCCCGTTTATCAGAAGCAGTTGCAGACGGCACAGATTCCCTCCTTCTCTCCCCCGCACTGGGAAAGCAAGCAGAGAGACCACCTCTACCGACTACAATATCAACTTTTCTATGATCTTAAAAATCCCCGTGATCTGAGGTGCGCTAGTTCATCTGTCGGAGAGCACAACGAAAAGTGGAAGATTAGGAATCATCTGCATCTCAGTGGTGAATACGGGAAGAAGCAGCTGAGGGACACGGGTGCCACCGCAGCGGGGGACGGCGACCAGGCCCAGTTCGATCTGCTGGGAGGTGCTAAACTGCGCTTGGGGACGGACCGAACTCGAACTCAACGTCTTGCTGGTGAGCCGCTGCTTTCGCGCCAGACTGGGAGGCCACTCGCGTGCGTGCCAGCGTCAGCAAGCCACACGTCCGGCGGCACCAAGCAGCTGCGTGCGGACACGGGGCACGGAGAGAAAGCGGTGTTATCGTGGTCAGGCCGCATTCACTGCAAACAGCGCCCCGGCTGGCAGCAACCCCGAGCGACCGGCGCCCGCTCGCTGGGGTTGCGTTGGCGTGGTGCGCAGATGCTCTGGCGCGCTGTGTGCTGGCTCCGGGTCCTGCGCTGGCTGTTGTCGGTGGGGCTTGGTCTCGTGCTCTGGTGACTGCAGCGCCTGTCCAGTCCAGTGCAGCTCGGTGCAGTCGGCTGGCTCACTGATCCCCCTTCGTCCAGTCTTGCCAATGCGCCTCAGTTTACCGCTTGCAGAGATGAGTTCCACGTTCTGTAGCTGGACTTGCCGGCTGTGTGTGTGTGTGTGGCTGAGCTTCGCTCTGTTTTTATTCTGATCAGAACCTCATGCAGCAGTGGTACCGCCGGAAGGGGACGGAAGGTGGTAGCAGTTGCCCTTCGATGCTCCCATGAGCGAGATTCGGTGGGGGCGCACTCGACGCAGTTCAGTATGCGCTGTGCAAGAGGGAATAAGAGATGTGTTATGTTTTTTGCGAATTTCTCTCAAAGATTTCAGGAGGCAGTGTTGGCGGTGCATCATCTGCTGAGCAGTATCCGGGTGGAATGTCTGTTTTGATACCTGCGCTGGACGGCTTCATCTCACGCCTCAGCATCTCGCGGCTCGATGACCTCGCCGGCAAGCTTTTCAGTGTGCTCGGATCATCGGTTACTTCCCTCTTCCAGGATCATCCTTTTTTTATTAAAAGCACTCTCTCATGATGCTGCTTTCGCGCATTTGTTTACGACGGAAGGGGGTTGGGGGTGGTGGGCAAGGGGCACCCAGAGACACCCTGCTGGAATCTGCTTTTACTGTCAGTGGCATTGCGAGCGGACATCTCCCCGGAGATTTTTTTAAAGCCGATCTGTCCTCAGAATTCTCCATGACCTACCGCTTCTGCAGGAAAGTGTGGGGGAGCACCATCGGAATATCTTCAAATCATGGATGGAGCTTCTCGGCCATTGAATTGACAGGTGGCATACGAAGGATTTCAGATCACTTTCCTTCACTGTGGATGGCTTTATCCATGGAGCAGAGGGCTTCCGGGTGTATTCACACAAAAGCTACTTGTGCATTTGCTTCTCGCCAGCCGTCTCCTTTTCAGTACGGAGTTGGCTGTTCCTGCTTGCTGCTGCTACTGCTGCATTTCTTCCTCCTCTTGCAACTGCTACACTGATGGGAAAGCCGGGAGCTCCATTGCGACACTCCAGGAAATCCTAGTGAAGTACCTTGTTTACAGATCGTTGCAACTATTTTTACACAGCTGTGGCGCTGTCGCTTCTGTCGTTTCTAATTGGGACGAAGCAACATTTTGGTGAGCCGATCCGATGTCTCGTCGATCAGCAATATTCAGGTGACACATACACAAGGTCTTCAATTTTGGCATTCACTGGATGAGGAGGAAGAAAGGTAGTAGGGAAGTGTACTAGCATCTGGAGGGAGCTCAAAATCTGCATGAAGAAGGGGAGATATGTCCAGGTGCTATGCAAACATGCTGAGACTGTTCAAATCTTGCATTTGTTAACGACGAGTAAATGAGGTTTTGGATAAATTGGAGATGTAATTATCGTCATAAGTGTGCATAAGCTGTGCAGGGTTGTGACACCAGCCCAGTGGCATGCCTTTCTTGATAGCGTGGGATCGTCAGTGTGGGACGAAAAGAAAAATAAAAATCAGACTTGCCAAAAGGATGCGCGAAATGTAGCAGGACGAAGAGATCGGTGAGCGAAAGAGGCCAAATTACACGAAAAGAGCAAAAGCGGGCTGTGAAACTGCTAAATTTGTTCTCAAGGCGCTAATGTTTGAGCACGTTTGGTCGAAATAATAAGAGTTAGTTGGTCAGTAAAATTATGCTTTTTATTGGACGTTGACTACTCCTGTAAATGGTAAAATGGATTATATATCACCGCTACCAGCTTATTTATAAAAATAGATTTTGCGAACAAAAATTTTTGCCAAAAACGCGACTCAAATGCGCAATGAAGAATTTTTGCAACACCGACCACACTGCGTGTAATCCAGACTTGCATGCCTTCTGACCAATGGCCAGACATTAGGGCCTTTGTTACTGAGATGCATTTATATGCCGGGCGCAGCTGTGCTGAATCTTTCTGTGGTAAGCTGCCTTTGTCCGGTTTGTATTCGCTATCTCTGTCACTGTCACTCGTTGGACCAGATTTACTACTGTTATTCCATTCTTTGATGCCCAAAATTCATTAGCTGACATTTTTGCCCTCCTTCAACGTTTGGAAGTGTTTTGTTTTCCCCTGGCTGTACGTGGCATAACGTTAATCGACTCTGGCTTCATGACTTGTTCATTGCAGTCGAGGTGCTCTACACATTCAGGAAGAGGAGTCAGTGCGTGTCGCTCTAGAGAGGGCCATTGGGTGAGAGTGAAATTTGA